ATTTGGATGATGAATGAGTTTCTGGTGAAATTTGGAAAAATTTTCTGGAATTAGGTCAATAACAAATGGGATATGAAGGTTATTATGGAGGGTTTTGTTGGATACATAGAAGGGAGCATCGACTATTGTTCGGAGGATTTTAGACTGGAAGGATTGAATGCGTTTGATGTTAGAAAGTTTTGCTGTCCCCCACAGTTCTATTCCGTAGGTCCAAATAGGTTTCAGGATTCTCTTGTAGATTAATAGTTTGTTGTCGACTGAGAGTTGAGATTTTCTATTCAATAGTCTATATAGTTGTCCGTATGGTCTGTTAAGTTGTTGTCTTTTAAGTCGGGTGTGTGGGTTCCATGTTAGTCTTTTGTCTAGAATAAAGCCAAGATACCGGACTGTGTCGGACAGAGGAAGTGGTATGGAGTACTTCAAGACTGGTGGACAGGAATTGCGTCGAAGGGTAAAAGTGATATGTTTGGATTTGAATTCATTTACTTGGATTCGCCACTTATTACACCAGTGTTCAATAAGAAAGAGGTGACTTTGTAGGTTTAAGGATGCTATTTCAGGATCTGGATTGGAAGATAAGATGGCTGTGTCATCAGCGAATGTTGCCAGGAGTGTTTCAGGATGAGTAGGAATATCAACGGTAAACAGAATGTAGAGGACGGGACCCAAGACGCTGCCTTGAGGAACTCCCGCCTTGATTGAATGACAGTTGGAGGATTCTGTACCATAGCGAACTTGAAAGTAGCGGTCAGAGAGGTAGGATCGGAGGATAAGATATAAGGAATGGGGGTAGATGGGATTTGAGCTTGAAGAGCAGTCCGGCGTGCCATACCCGATCAAAAGCTTGCGCAATATCCAGGAATGCCCCTGAACAATACTCTTTGCTTTCTAGCTCTGAGGATATGTGGTCAACAAGTCGGAGTCCTTGTTGGATAGTGGAATGTTGGAAGCGAAATCCAAATTGGTGGGTTGGAAGGTTTTGGGATTCTATTATGGGTAGGATTCTTTTCAGCAGGATTTTTTCAAAAATTTTGGAAAGGATTGGGAGTAGGCTAATTGGTCTGTATGATGATGTATTATTGGAAGGTTTGCCAGGTTTCAAGAAAAGGACGATGGTGGAATGTTTCCATAAGAGAGGAAAATGGGTAGTTCATAGGATGCAGTTGTATATGTATGTGAGGAATATGATTGCTTTGGGTGGTAGTTGATGAAGGATCTGTGGGGTTAGAAGGTCGTATCCAGGAGATTTGCGGGAAGATAGTTTTTGTAAATGATATTTGACCTCACATGGATGAACTGCTTTTGGTGGTAAATAGAGTGGAATTGGTGAAGAAAGGAATTCTTCTACTATTGTAGGTGTGGGTCGGATTAGATTCGGGATGAGGAGTAAATGTACTGGAAAGGTGTTTGGCGAATTCCTCAGCTTTGTCTTCATCAGACGCCGCCCAGGAGCCATCACCTCGACGGAGGGGATGGGAAATATTATGGGTTTTTAGGATTTTTTTGGTGATATTCCAGAGGGAGTTGTGAGCAGAGAGGGAGGTAAGGAAGGAGTTAAAGGATTGGGATTTGAAGTTGGATAATTCTTGCTTTAGTTGTTTACAGAGATAGTTATAAGAGCTACGGTCAGTGGGATGTCTGGTACGTTGCCATAACAATCTGGCACAGCGTTTGGTATGGATTACGTCGAGGATGTGATGAGGTAACTACAAAAATAATAAATGAAATCCTAACACAACCTATGTCCAATATTAATACAATTAAGTTCGAATTAAACAATTGACAATTTCCTATAAGGGTTTTAATGCTGGCTGAGTGTTATTCTTTTCAATTATACGTTACTTAACTCTTTTTATATTAATCAGATTTTCAGTCTAATGAGGTACATACTAGCATTACCAAATTCTAAATAAAATGTTTCAGGATCATCTAGGAGAGCTCTAGCGATGATTAATAATCAATGACTAAACACTACTGACATTCCTATAAATCTGAACTTTTAGCAGCAGCCAGCAGCATTATGAGTTTCTAGCAATTGGTCCCTATGAATTTGATTGAATTTAAATATTCAATTAAATATATCTAATTAACACAAGAAACTTCCTTTGGAAAAAAAATTGAATCTACTTTATAAATAAGGTCAACAAAGTTTACCAAGAACCAATATGTATAGCCAAAACAAAATTTATTGACTATAAATTAAATTATTTTACATTAAATTTTATAATATCAATAACTCAACAAATGTATTTCTAAACTTTCAGACACAAATAACAGTGAAACACTACAGTAAGGCATAATATTTTATCTAACTACTAGTTTTTACTAAAATGACTATTTCCAATCAAAATCTTCCTTAGGTCTCTGGATTTTTTATATATCTAAATTCTTTATAGCTTATACTTGACAGTGGCTTGAAAGCCGAAACATGAGGTGATGTAAAACCAAATGGTTTTACATGAGATGATGTATAACCAAATGGTTTTACATGAGATGATGTAAAACCGAAATCTTTCATATGTCTATAGATCTTTTGTTTTTTTTTTTTTGTTTTTTTTTGGTCCTTCCCTTCCTCGCTGTTAAGGTTATACGGGATTTTCCCCGGCCAGGGAGTGTGGGCGGGGATTTAAAAGACTCCCCTGGCACCGGGACGCGAACTTGTGACTATTTTTATATCTTTGATTCATATATCTGGATGCTAGGCAATGGCGGTACAGTGCACACGCTTTAGCCCATTCGGCCACCCCGCCCCTAAAGATCTTTTGGTACTCTTTTTTTTTTTTTTTTTTTTTGTTCTTCCCTACCTCGCCTTTTTTTTAGGCTATACGGGATTTTCCCAGGACGGGGAATTTAAAATCCCCTCCGGCACCGGGACGCGAACTCGTACTTTTTATATCATCTCAAATCTCTGTTATCCGGTTGCCAGGCAACTAACGGTGCTGTTACACACGCTTTAGCCTATTCGGCCACCCCGCCCCCCGATCTTTTGGTACTTGTGAACACTCAGGTCCACATGGACTGCTATTTGCCAATGTTTATAACCTGAACACTGATAATTCTGAGAAGGCACTGATAATCCCTATCTTCAAATGAAATTCCAAAATACAAAAACAAATGTAATAATAAAAAAAAAAAACCTTTTATTTTACAACATATATATGAAATAGACAAAAACAAATGTCATATTTATCAAAGCTGAAATAGACGAAAAGAAATGTAATAATAAGAAAACACTGATTTGAAATTGAAATAGACAAAAACAAATTTAATAATATATCAAAAAGAAATATATTAATAAAAAATATAAATATAATAATAATATTATAAGAATAAATATAAATAACAAAACACTTTAATTTTACAACATATATACATATAAAACCCTTTCATTTTACGCATATATGTTTATACTTTATTTTGGCAGACAAAACAGTTTAATGTTATTTAAAAGAGAGAAACGGGTCCTCTTCTCTGTGAACCCACCACTATAAAAATATGAATCAAGGTGTTGCCTCAGAGTTCCTAGATGTTTCTTATTTCTCCACTTAGCTGAGCCCCATAAACGTTCTATGTGTTGAGTATGGACCCCAGTTGATGGATCAACAAAGTTATACCGGTGATTCAACTGCAAATCATGATAGTTTGCTTCATTAAGTTGTTGGGTGTTGTATTCTTTCCAACAGTCAGAACAAATGGTGCTTTCCTCTTTTATATTATTTTTAATACATTCTAATAAAGTTCTTGCCTTTCTGTTCTTTATTTTTATGATGAAACACTCGTCTGTTTCTCGACAAATTCCGCCAAACATCCATTGTTCAGGGAGAATGGATTCCTACATGAACTTTTATTTTAGAAAAAACTTCAAAGACTTTCCCGGGCCCTCCAATTTTCTTAGTTGACCTGTATAACATATTAAGGGCACAAACATCTTAAAAATTTGTTCCACATTATGATACATTTGTTCGATAGTTTCAGCTGCTCTAAAATATTTGATAACCTCTTCTTCTGAAGACGGCAATCCTCCACAATGCAATAACTCACACCACATAAAAAGGCAGGTTATGTGACGTAAGATAAGATAATAAGGAAAGTTTACTGCCGACCAGATTGTTCACAAGTAGCACCTTTCAAAAAGATTATTCTAATAATAAATCAACATATAATGCAAGATAAAGAAAATGAAATTTCTATTCATATTACTTTCACTAATCTATATATGTAATATATTGTAATGTCAACATTACATGGTATATAAATAGTGGCGCGAAAGTGGCAAGAACATGAACTACAGGGAAGAAGTGGGGGAAGCAAGCTCATGTGACAGGGACTGCGACGGGCCGCCAAGAGGGAAGGTGCTAGCGGCCAAGAGAGAAGATTATGAGTCGTCAAGAGAAGATGTGACAAGCTGTCAAGAGAGAAGCCAGCAACTTGAGAAAATAGAAACAGCCACAAAGTTTAGACTGGGACAATAAAGGTTTTTGAAGTATAATTTCTTAATGTATGTATCTTGTTTCTTTATTTGTATTTAGTAATTAGTAGATTATAGTTATTTAATGTGTTCAGTTGTCAGAACCCAACTTGAGATTAATGTTATATGTGTAAAATAAATAGTATATTCAAAAATAAACTCGTTTTGATTTATGTTGACTTTAGGGTACGTCACAATATAGTAAGGAAAAGTATTGAAATCGAGAAAATTTTCTAATAAGAGTTTTCAACAGAAATACATGTTTTAATGTACCCTGAGTCCTAATAACCAAGTCCCGCAAAATGGTCTGTGAACAGTAGCTCAAAAACGAAAAGTCGTACGAAACTGATATTACATATTTAAGATAGGTATATGCCTTAGATGTGACAGCAACTTTTTCCTTAAAATCGGCTAACCAAAAGTGCCTCTTCCTACACCGTATATTAATGGTGAAACACATTGTTACAATTTTCTCAAAAACAGCACTAATGATTTTGATTAAACTCAGTCTATCATTGTATAATTAAGTGGTCTTTAATATCATTTAGGTCTTATTCCCATTGATGTCACTTTACAGGGCTTAAATGCCTAATGTTTTCTATTTTTCTAAAATAGAAAAACTCAATAAATAAATTAAAAATCAATACAAAATAATTTCATAAATCATATATTTTTCTGTATATTACAACAAAATAATGACAACTTTGGGAGAAAAATAACAAACATAAATCCATTTCTTACTTTTTTTTTCTTTTTTTTTTTTGATTCTGAAATAAAAAAATAAATTTCACCACATTAAGAAACTATAACACTTTGTATTTATTTTCAAACTTACTATTTTCATAAAACATTAACCACCACTTGCATGTAATAAATTCAATGAAGATGTAAAATTACAGAATCTACAAATGATATAAAATGTCAATATAATAAGCTTATATGAGTGAAATATATTTTTGTGCATTGTAGTAAAGTTTACATTTTGACTAGTCCTTTATAAATAAGGGTGTTAAAAATAATATATCACTCGTTCAAAACGGTTTCTAAAATATTATAAATAAATTCCAACGGTTATTTTTCTAGTTAAACAAAAATATGCTATCAAATACAGCTCCAAATATCAAAACTAAGTTTTGTTTCATAAATGCATCTGACATTCTTTGTATAAAGAATGAAAGAGCCAAATCAATTTTAGAGACATAGAAGCTGTAGTCTATATTTTAAACAATTATTTTTCTTTTCTTTTTTGTTTTTGATTAAAATAAAGTTTGTTATCTTAATAATTTGATCAAATAATAATATAAAAATAGTATTCTTTAACATTATTATTTGAAATAATTTTTGTTTCCAAATTATCTTTATTATTAATTCTATGAAAAAAATTATTTCAGCATTAAAATCAGTGTTAATATTGTAAACATTATAGTTTTAAAATGTTTTATTACAGAAATATTTTTAAAATAAAAAAAAATATTGAGATAGTTAATTATGAACTAAAATTTTCTGAAATTAAAACTTCTCTTTTAAGAATTGTAAGGTAATAAAATGATGAAATTCTTTTAAATAAAATAATAAGTTACTGTATTGAAATAATCTAAATTTAATTATACCTTTATACATTAAGATAATGCATAGATTTATACAGTAACAAAGACTAAAAAAAAGTTGTTGATTTGGATATGATAATAGATCTACCTAAATTTATATATTAAATCAACAACTGCTTAATCTTTTAACACCCTTACATTACAGATATTTTATAACTTATCCATAAAGACAAGATTTTTATATATTTCTTATCAGATATTTCTCAATCATCAAAGAGCTTAAAGCTGAAAACATCAAATAGTAAAAATTATAACTATTAAATTTATGATAATCTATTTTTAATTAATGAAATTATACAATATTACTGTTAACGGAAAAAATCAACGAAAATATACATAGTCATTCATCATTAATTTCATACTAAACAATTATAAAAGAAAGGAAAACTTCAGGAAAAGTAATTACATCATGAATTTTTATGTGAGTAAGAATATGTATGTGAGTGTGTGTGTGTACACACACACACACAAACAATTATACATATTTTAATGTAAAAAAAAAAATGTAAAAAATACATTTATGAGTTATTTCCAAAATTAAATGCTAATAACACATATCAAATTAACTTTTTTTCCCTACTATCTATAAATACAAGTGATGATAAAGGAACGCAGTTCCAGTTACTAAATTAGGAACAATGTGAGCACAATTGGAGAACTATCGTTAAAACAGCAATTTTCACATTATTATTTATTTGTTTTGGCGAAGAAAAAAAAGGAAAAAAAGAAGCAAGTGTGCAACCATCAGAGCACTCTAGTCTAGACACAAGACAATAACAAGGTCAGAAAACATATTCATACTTAAAAATATACAAATTGTATATATATATATGGTATGAAACAATATTACAAAAAAGTGATACTTAATTGATTTCATAACTTATCGTTGACTATTAATAAAAATAAAATAAGAAGGGAATAGGTTTTCCAAGCTTTTACATGTTATTGTTCTTTTGTCTAAATAGTAAGTAAGAATCATGTTCACGATTTGAATCATGCCCACATTTCTTACATACATTAATTTATAACACATTTCTATGATTATTTACAAATTCTTTAACAAATTGATATTACCAAACAACCAACAAAATATGAGACACTGTTTAGTGTTCTTATATAAATATATAAATTTTTAAAAAAGTTGATGTTTAACTGCATGTACTGAATGTTTGCAATGTAAGTTAGCCAAAGGTAATGGTATTAATAAGTAATTGTTTATGTGTATTTGCACAAACATTCACACCTGCAAGCTCACACACATGCTAATACAATTTCTATACAGGCAGTAAAACATAACTTATAAACATAAGTTATTTTTATATAGGGTATTTGTATCTGAGCACATACATACTTGTATGTATATTGATACATCCACATATATTTATGTTATTTATAATTTTATGTTAAAGCTAGAGGTCATAAGTATTACATTGTGACTTAGACATTAGTTATTTATGCTTAAAATGGAGGCAAAGAACAACAGGCTGATATTGATAAACGTTTAGCACTGACACAGAACCAAGAATGGAGAGTATTGACAAGATAAGAAAAACTAACATTTTAATTAATTATATGGAGCCACTGATCAGTTATACTGCTGGCTTTTATCAGTAGATATTAATTTTTTAATTAAGTAATTTGCTTTAAACAATACTTAAATATGTATAAAAAAGCATTGATTTTGATAATGCTTTTAATTAAAAACAATAACCTTAATAATCAATAAAAAAAATTAAAATTTTAATCTTTGAAACAAAATTAAATAATTTACTGGTAACAGAAGAAAAGCAAAGAAAAAAAAATACTCATCAAAAATATCTCTCCTTAATTATCATTAAAAATAGAAATGTTGTTCAACACAAAATAAATATTAGTCAATAGAAAAAATTTAATAGCAATAAAATTAATTTAGGAGGTAAACTTAGGATGACACATTATAATGATTACTCCCCTTGCCCCCTCAATTAAAAAATTAAATTAAATTAAAAAAATAGCTGACTTAAGAGCTCACATAAAAAAATAAATATAGCAGCAATTTCTTCCTCAAACAGCATTTGTCAGAATATTACTTTCATTATTTTTTCTGGTGGTCAAGGAAAGTGTTGTCTAAACCAAAAAATCACCTATTATATTTCTATGGAGCAGATATTTTTTCATCTGTAAATAAATAAAACAATATAATTAAATTATTGCTAGGAAATATATTTTAAACACAATAATATTTGTAAAATTATCAGAAAACATAAAAATTAAGGCTGAAAACTAAAATTATCCAACAACTGATAGTCTTTCAAGCATAATTTCTGATTTTGGAGAAATTCAAGACTGTTAGAGGTAGGGTAGTGTAGGAGTTTTAGGGAGATAAATTGCTAGATTATTATGGCTGTAGAATTCCTAACTAATAATATTGCCATTGCTTAACTTGTATTATATTCTTTTACTATTTGATTGTTTTAATTTTCAGATCATAGAAATTAAAATTTATAGAAAAATATGAATCAAAACAAATTGCAAAAAATATATCAGTAGTTTTGATTCATATTTTTCTATAAATCTTGATTTATTTTAGAAGTTCAATCACTGCATCCAATGAACATTTATTGTCTGCCAATAGTTGAGACAACTGTCTGGGGAGACCTCTTGAAGAGAAAGCAGCTGAATATTGTAACATTCCTCGATGATGTGCCTAATAGTGAGTGGAGTAGAGCACCGTTCGTATTTCACTACTTCTTCTTTATTAATTAGGTGTCCATGAGTGAGTAACGAGTGACCTATTCTCAATCTCGTAATCACCATCTCTTCTCCTTTGTTATCTCACACGCAGCTTTTCCATAATCGGGTGGTGCTGTTGATGCTTCGTAGCTTATTTTGAGAGGTCACATTCGCCGAGGTTTTCCCAATCATTAAGAGACCCTGTTCCTTAACCATTTTTTAATGTCTTGGTCTTCGAATATTTTTATTTGTGGAATATTCATTTATGCTGCCTCTTTTGCTGCTGTATCCGCTGCTTCATTTCCCTTAATACCAATATAGGCTGGGGTCCATATGAAAGTGACAGTTTTCCCCAATTCTTTTAATATTCCTAAATAGTTTTTTACGGTATTAATTATGCCATTGTTCGTGTACAGTTTTCCCAGAGACATCAAAGATGATAAGGAATCCATACAGATTCTAATATTTCGGCTGTATCTAAAGCTGAACTTATTGCTAGTAGCTCAGCAGTAAATATTGAGCTTGAATTTTTTGGTTTCCTGAGCAGAGAAAACTGAACAGCCTACTTTGTCTTCAGTCTTAGAGCCATCAGTATAAATAATATAGAAATCTGGACTTGTTTCTTTAATTATAGCATTAAATTTTTTTTGTAACATCCAACAACACAGTTGGAGTTCTAGGTTTATAGCAGGCGGGGAGTAGCTCCAGGTGGATTTTCCAAATAGGTGCGAGTAAAAGTCCACTTCATTTTTTATTAACATAATAATTTCTCTTTGTGTAATTGCTAGAGGTACAGACGAACGTGGTTGATCATTGTAGAGTCGGCAATGTATTGGATGGAAAATGAAGTGGTAGGCTAGGTTATCGTGTTGCGATATTACTTTAGCATGATCTCAAATACACAATTTCAGTTGCATATGACTTTGTTTTTAAGCTTGACTGTAAACACAGACACACACCCCACAGTGAGAGTCTGTAACCCATATGTAGCGCACACCCAGGTGGCGGATAGGAGAATGAAATCCTGAACAAGAAACCAATCATGGTAAGTAAGGAGGAAGTTTTAAAGGTTACGGTGCAGGGGATTGGATCCTCAGTACAGGCTCTCCAGATGTCGTCATCATGACAAATTTTGCGAGAGTACAGAAGAACGAAGCCGGTAATATGTTCATCCAGATAGTAGACTGGAAGGCAGGAGGCACCCTCAACGACATGAAACACACTCTAGAAGGTCCACTTGGGTCAGAAGCAGAAATCAGGGCTTGGACAGAGGAGTCACTAACTGAAATCAGAGACCTGAGAGGCCCTTAAAACCTAAGAAGAAACTGCTGAAAAACTTGTCTAGCTATAGACTGTAGCGTCGAAACAAAATTGTCAGATATTAAACCCGTGAATGTTAAGGAATTACTGTACCTCTGAAAATATCCAGGAGATTTTATCCTCCTACAAAAAATTATAGACTTTGAAATTTAGATATTGTTCAGCTAATGACAACAGTGATGAAGCTATACTGGGCTTACTTGGCAGACTTTTATTTTTGGTTTTTGATTAATCGAAAATTTTATAATTACTGAAGCAATTGAGATTATCATTTGAACAAGTGAGATTATGTAGGTCATTACTATTTTACATTTTTTAAATTCATAGTTATATATTTCTCCCAATATGTTCGGGAAGGAGTATGATACATCTCAAATATTTGATATGCTATTATTTAAAAATAGCTAACCATTGAATAATAACTATCACCGTTTATGTTCTAGATTCCTTTAAGAAATTAGTTGTTATTTATTTTATTTTTTATAAATTTTATTGTTTCGATCCCCAAATTACTGGCCTAATATTCTTTAAATCAACCACCATTTTTTAAAGAAGCGGCTCTGGAAAGGCAGACAAGGTTCTTTTTACTCAGAATAACATACACTTTCATAATTTAAAATCAAACCTTTGCCTGCAATGTCAATTTTTGGGCCCTGGCTCCAGAGTTATTGTATTAACGAACAAATATTAATAAAATAATTTAAATGTCAATTTTTTTTTCTTCAATACTATCCATTTTGAAAGCTCGATAGTTCATTTCCAGTTGGGTTTGGAAAAAAATATTATTATGAAAATGTTGTATAATTTTAAGCTGTTTAAGATTGAATATAACCAGTTTTTATCTATGTCACTTTAAAAAGGAGATATTTAGCGTAAACCAAAGAAAGTTCTAAATTTCCATGGTTTTTGGAGCACAGTAGTGAACCCAAAAGGCTTTCAAGGGCAGAAACTTTGATTTTTTATATTCACTGCACACCTCACAATATAAAAAAAAATTTGAATTACCCGACCTTATGACGGGTAACATGTCTAATGTGACTAGGCTACTTGGCTTCGGAATGGATTAATTTGGTTCTGAGGAAGAGTCCTTAATTCTGAGTTAGGACAATCCGAACTGTGGGTTAGACATGTTGCAGTGTCGTAAGACATGTCCACAGGAGTGGTTTTTGGTTGTCGACTGCCTGATTGTTAAATAGAATGAGGCGGGGTTCTATTCTCAGGGGTACGCCGATGGTATCGCTGTATTGCTCGTAAATACTATGAGACTTCTAAAAGAATGGTGCCAGGACAATGGGCTTGGGATAAATCCGCAGAAGATAAATCTTTGTATCTTCACTAACAGAAGTCAACAATGTCAACATTAGACCAACATCATTAAATGGGTCATCATTAACTATCTGTAGTGAAGTAAAATATATTGGGATTACTCTAGATAGTAAGTTTAATCGCCTAAGTCATATTGAAAAAATTAGTAGGAAGGCTCTATGCTGTCAATAAGTGTGCAGAAGAGTTGTTGGCAAATTGTGGGAGCCGAAACCCAGTATGGCTCTATGGTTATACAGAACTGCGATTAGACCCTTAATCCTATGTGAGTATTGTGTGATGACATAGTGCCGCTGCAAGCAAGTCTAGAATGCTGCTTTGCAAACTTTAAAGGCTCACGTGCCAAATGATGACTGGAGCTAAGAGAACTACTCCTACTGCTGTAATGAAAGTTCTCTTGAATCTCAGATCATAGCATTTAGAGGTGAAAGCACATACTCTAAGAACTGCCTATAGATTGGATAAACAGGGAACAAGATCAATTTAGGCTATATTGGGAACAGGCTAGGAAACAACATCATTTTAAGTTATTCCTAGTAGGACCCTGTCACAAGAGAAGTGTATCACTTCTTTCAATGGACAGGAGCACCATTAGGTGTGTGACAGGACTGTACACTGGTCACTGTCGATTCAATAAGCACCTCTTTAACTTGGGCTTAAGTAAGACTCCTACCTACAGTCTGTGTGGCTTGGAGGTTGAAATAGCCAATCACTTTATTTTTAGATGAGATAATTTGGCTAGACTGCGATATTTTCACTTCGGATGTGATTGTATCACTGACCCTAAGCATTGCGAACTAATAGATTCTATTAGTATTAACAAGTTTGCAAAGGCATCTGGCCCTGTTTTAATAGAGCTTTAGGAAAACGCACAATAGGCCTCTATGACGTCTCGGTGCATTCATAAGACGGGAAAAAAAAAAAAAAAGATGGCTGATCAAAATTTGTTTTCAGTACTTCGAAATTTTACACAATTTTTTGTTAAGAATATGAGAAAACTTTAATTTTAAATTTTTCCTTTATAAAATATATCATTATATAAATAGGCAAACACAAATCGGTTCAGCCCCTTTTACTCCTCTATTATTCAACCGATTTTCTTCCTTCTTTTTTTGTTTAATAGATATTGACGAGCTTTAGTGTTATCAATAAATAAAAATATTAAATAGTACGTGAATAAAAATATAAATGGTAGTTTGTTCAAAACGGCTTATCTCCGAAAGTTCTTCACCAATTTCTTTTAAATTTTGACAAGCATCCCAATAATATTTAGAAGTTTTTTTGTATACGTTTCATTATCATCAGGTCTTTCCTTTCGAAATGGTTACCGAAAAACGTGATTCGCTTTAGAATGTAGCGCCAATACAGCTTCAACGATTTCAATGAAACTTGGCTAAAGCCTTCCCCTTGAAACCTTTATAATTTATGTATATAACATATTTTCCCGAAAACAAGCTGCATACATTTTTATGATGAATTCAGTATTTTATTTGCGAATAACTCAAAAAGTACACATTTTTTTACTGATAATACCAATATTTATTTGAAAGGTTCCTGAATTCCCTACAAAATAAAAAAAAATCATCGAAATCGGACTATTTGTTGCAGAGATATATCATTTAAACATTAGTATGTTTTCTTTCCCTTCCAAATTCGATTTCTTTTATTTTGTTTTTTGATAAATTGAAAACTTTTCATTTACTGAGATAATTGGGTCTATTATTTGAAAAGATGATATCATGTAATGTTAGTGGAATGATACCTAATAAATTAAATTTTAATATATATATTATAGTTATACTCATTATTAACTTAAATACTGCACAAGCATTAGTTAATGGAACAGGAATGAGACTAAAGTATTAACGTGGGCTACTTTAAATTAAAGAATTTTAATTCCAAGAATTAATTTAACATTTTCTGACAATATTCGACTTTCAAAGAACAACGTTCCTATAAATAGCTGCATTTGCTATGACCATAATCAAATCACAGGGTAAAAGTTTTGAAAAAATGTGTACATTATTGTTATTGTTGGCGTCCAGTAATTTCGCATGGACAATTATATGTGGCAGCAATTAGAGCAAGTTCATTTATAATATTGAAATTTATATTTTCAATGACAATGGGCATGGCTATGCACTAAACAATAACAGAACATTCAAAAAGAACATTATTCACATAGAAGTTCTGAACAAAAATAGATTTAAATTGCTAATTTAAATTTATTTTTTACTAGCTTAATCATAACATTAATTTATTGAGATAATAACACACATAAATTAAAATGAAAATTAAATATTTTTGTATTACTTATAAATAATTTTAAATGACTTAAGCTCGATTTTTAATTGAAATTGATATTTTATTTGTATTAATAAATGAGGATTTTTGAATCGTGATTTACTCTTTATTTATTTACTTTATTTTTTATTTAATTATATCTTTTCCTCAAATTTTTAATGGCACTGGGCGAACACTAGTATCTATAGATATAGTTATTATGACTATTATTTTTTTATAACTGCAAAATTAAATTTATAAATAATTAGACAATGATAATTTATGAACAAATTTAAACAAATAATAATTTAAATAAAAAAAAGATCAGTTGGTCATACTGTTTTTTTAGTTGGAGACTGTCCGGTTTCCAATGTTGAATTTATTCTTCACTGAGAAGTTGAAGAATTCACCTAGTAAATGTTTAAGAGTTTAACAGAAAGAATTGAAAAATAAGAAAAGAGACAATTTCAGGTATTTAAATTTCATTAAATGTTTTTCAAAAACGATACGCCACGAATTTCCTTAAGTGTAATGCTAAATTTTTCAATCATCATTTTTGAATTACATTGCCAACAAACCAAAAAAGAATTTATTCAAAAGGTTTACTAAATTTGCCAGGTATGCCACTGCACATTTAAGCATTGAAAATTGGTGGACTTATCATTCTTTTCCAAAACATCAATCCTATGTTTCCAACAGTAAAACACTTTCCAAAAAAAGTAAAAGATTAACTATTACTAAGTATACCAATGATTCCAACAGATATGCCATTTGTATTCAAATGTTTACAGTTTCCAGTGCAACTGGCTTTTGCACTGACCAACAGCAAAGCACAAGGACAATCACTGCAAGTGTGTGAGCTAGATTTAAAGAATCCGTGGTGCTTCTCACATGGAAAACTGTATGTGGCCAGCTCATGTATCGGAAAACCTGATTAATTCGTGAATCCATAGCTCGAATAAATAAATAGAATTAAAACTGAAATGACACAATGTATATTAAATGTCATCATAACGAGTTCTCTTGAATTTACTTTCGTCTCAGATCGCAGCAACTAGCAAAGGATAAGCTAGTTATAAATAAGGAGAATATTATCTATTAGAATTTAATTTATAATACAAACAATCAGCTATGGCATAAAATAGGAATATGATTGATTAAATATTAATAACTTTTAGTCTGAACATTAAAAAGGACTGACACAATTACCAATGCTTATTGGCTGTCTATAGAATCTTCATCTCGTCTAAGCTTTTTAACATCATCATCCTCTTCTTCAGCTTCTCGCTTTACTCCAATATCATTTCTTCTCTCACCGATGTAAGAATTTCTGCAAAATAAAACCAAAAATTTTTTACAATTTTAACTTCTTATAAACAAAATGACAAATTTAAATTACTATCTTTTAAATAAAATTTTCGGCTGCTTAAAAAAAAAAATTTAAATAAACAAACTCTCCCATTGTTATGTAGATCTGTAAGGTTTAAAGTAAATACAAAAAATGAAATGTTATCCACAATATGACTCAAAATGACAGGCATAATATTATTGTATCGGAAGTAGCATCTCCATCACTCAACAAACAGATTGCAATCAGCCACTGGTTTCTCAGCTTGGGTGAACACTTACACAAACTCATACACACAGTAATAATTTCAGAATACTCAGGGTGTCCAGCGTTTTGCCTCTACATACATTTTCCGGTTTTTCTAAATTTTCCCCATAAATTTCTGTTTCACATAAAAAATGTAGGAATTAAAATAATGGGTACAGCTGCCTATAGTGTAACGTAAACTCTCTTATAGCAACTTAAACTCATGTTACACTTTTCAATTTATTTTAAGCAAAGCAAATTTGAATACTGGTTAACATAAAATAAATGGAAACCATATAGAGTATATTCTCAATAATCTGAGATGGTTGATCTCTCGTTTGGCTTTCTATCTATTTGAAAATTTAAATTAAATTTGACGGTTCATTTAATGGAAGAACTGACAGCTGAAATTTTGAAACTATGTAAAGAATATGTCCCTAAAAGAGAATTCACCTTCACTGACGATATACTCAGTTGCGTTTTAAAAACTGACGACGTCAAAGTCATCAAATTAGGCCAGTCTGATGGTAGTGTGATTAGATAGTAGATAAAATCTATTTTTAATTTTATAAATAGCTTTTTGATGTAGGGCCAACAGATGAGGATTTAGAGAATGATGACTGCTTATTTTATAAGAAATATCTGTTTTCATCAGTTTTTCCTGAATAGAAAAACTCATAATCTATACATCTCTCGAAGAAATACAATATAATCAATTTGGAAGAGCATTAAATTTCTTATGTACCACATGTAGACACGTTAATATGTGAGAAGATTAAGCAGATGTTTAAGAGCATGGAATCGAAGACATATTTCCCTAGTAGTATCTGCCGCTCTCAACTTAAGGGTTTTTTATTTTTTCAATGCTTTTGATTCGGCTAATTTAACTATTTCATAACAGAACTAGAATGTATAAACAAATTGCATAGCTGTTATATATCCTGTTGGTATGAGACACTTCAACTTTTATTCATAAAACTTAAAATTATTCACAAGGTATAAATCTTTTTTTTCTTGGAAGCATTGTGTTCATGCGAGGTTAAAAAAAAATTTGTGCTCAGAATTGAAAATTTCCACTCGCGTTTTACGTTTCAAACATCAGGATCAAATTTGGTTCGGTGTCTGTCTGTCTGTCTGTAGTCAAATTGATCATTCATCCGATCCAACACTTCGGCTTACGCAAGTATTTTTTTTGGTATTTCAATATTTCAGAAATGGCTCGTTCAATTTGGCTCAAAGTTAGATAAAAGGTAGGTAATGGTCAACAAATAATGTAATGTCAATTTATTCACCAGAGTCATCAAATATGCAATCTGCATATTTGGAACTTATTCGCATTATTGGATTTGCTGATGAACAAAACTCGTGGATAAAAAAAAACGTATATGTTGAGGGATTACTGAATTTCCGAAAAAGGTTTCTCCCAGAGATTTTATTCATCATACGAAAAAATTTTAGACCTTCTAATATAGATATTTTTTAGCCAATGCAAACGGTGAGGAAGCTATACTGACCTTCCTTGGCAGACTGTTTTTATCGTCACAATGTTTTATAAATTTCTTTAATGCTTGAGATATAAATGGATAAGAGATAAGAATAATTAGTTAATAAGCAAATGTAATTTCTTAAATTAAATAGAATGATAATACCACAATCATTGCATGAATTACGGTCTCATAAAAAAATCAATCAAAAAAAAAAAAAAAGAACCAACGCCACACTTTTAGCTACTATAAATTTTAGAGCTACTAGTCCGGGATCTAACGAAGAATTAACCATGTGACCAGTGGCAGAAGGTTTGAAAATTGAAAATAGTAGAGATTAACATGTTAATGCCAAAAATCCTCAAGCCTGTGCTAACAGAGCATTGGAAATGTTCATTCAAACGCATTTTTGGTCTAACATGAGCAAACACGGCACCCAACGTGCTGACAGCTTTCTCAAATCTAAATGTTGATTTAATATGTAACAAACACGTTCTTCTGACATGTTCATAACCTCTGCTATCTCTCTCTTACGGCGGTGGTCCAGCACCATTTGGTGAACTTTGGCGATGTTTTCGTCAGTAGTTGCAGCTTTTGGACGTCCCGAATGTTCATTGTCTCCCAAGCTCTTACGGCCACGTTTAAATTCAGCTGCCCAAAATTTCACTGTGGTAAATGATGGTGCAGAACCCAACTCATCACATCAACTCACTCAAACAACTAATTATATAAAAACTGGCCATCCAAAATGGCTGAAACTTTGGTGGATAACTCTCAACAGATGAACAACAAAATTCACTTGCTTTTATTTACGAGTGCTGTTATCTTCACATTGCGGTCATTGTCTTCATGTCTATGGCTCAAGTGAAGTTTTTTTCCTTCCAGACCCCCGTCCAGCTCGTGCCACCTGCCGGGCTGGGCCGGGCCCTTTTCCTTTTCCAGGCTTCTTTTCTTTGTTCTTCTATCACTTTTTCATTGATTGTTTATAGATTAGATACTTTTCAGTCAACAACTTGTCCACTGCACAATTGAGTCCAATTTAGAGTGCAACACTACATTTCTATACATTCCCTCACTCAATGTCATATAAAGGAGGAAATACGAGAGGACATCTACTACAACCATATAAAAGGTCAATTGACCCTCACCCTAAAGCTGGCTAAAAAGCCAAAAACTTTATTAAGGTCTTGAAATAAAGTTTAATTTAAATATTAAAGCAAACAGTATTTAACCTAAATTAAATTATTTTTATACTATTCCAAATTAATAAAAAAAACTTATTCAACAGACAAGCAGTTAGGTAATAATAATTTACGAATGCTTTTGTTAATTCAGCTAAAACAAACAATTTTTTCATGCAATCTCTAAAAAAAGTAAGTGATCTTACGTGTAATTTGAATAAGTTGCTTGCACTATGACAGGGGCCTGAGAAAAAGGAGGCTGCTCTTCTGACAAACTCATTAAATTGTTAGCAGCAATAGCTGTGGCACCACTGGTGGACATATACTTATCTGAAACAAAAACAAGCTAATTATTTTGTTAAATAATAAATAAAATACATTTTAATAAAACAATAACACAAAACATGTATTATTATTGTGCTTTATGAAAAAATAATTATCTTGTCGTAAGAGGTGCTGACACACAGTACTAAAAGTGGTGGCCAGTCTAATAGAGGGGCAGTAGTCTTACATAAGAGGACATTATTGGCTTCCATTTCCAATGCTAGTAACCAATTTTGTATGGTCAGGCCATGAGCAATACTGTATGAAATTGTGTGAGAGCATGGAGGTAAATTAATAAAGAATATGATGGAGTTATTAAAGTAGTTTTTAATGAGGCTGTAATTGAAATTGTACATTTTTTAACTTCAGAATAAATTAATGAACCAATTTAATTATTATCTTTGTAGTCATCTATAGTTTTATATATATATATATAGTAACATAAATTTATAAGGGCTAGTGTTGCCCAAAATCAGTCTTGGTCTTGTACTTCGTAAGAGCAACACCAAGGCTGCCTAATTGTTGCAAGACCAAGACCAGGACTGGTAAAAAAAAATAGATTAATATAAATTAAGGCAAAAAAGTTACTAATACTTGACATTTACTAAATGTAACTAATTGGTATAACCAATATACTTTTGCATTTAACTCCTCTAATTTTTCATTGGGGCTTAGTTAAGTCTTTATCTAAAAAATTACAGTAGTATCTCTATAGTAATAAGCTAATAAGTAACTGCAAGACTGTTGCGCAAGACCAAGACTCGTCTCGGCCTCGCATTTGGGCAACACTAATTATGGCCTTTAGAAATTGTAATTGATGACAGAATTCATGTTCATGTTTTGTTCTTTTATTATTTTTGAACTTTGTGAAAAAAAACTTATTTATATGTATATTTTATTAAGTATTATTAATTTGAAAAATTGTAAAAACAATACTAACATTTAACTAGCGATAAAAAAATGAAAGGTATGACGTATTAGAGCTAAAGGACAGGAGGTCCTTCTGTGTCTAAGGCAGAATTGTGAATAGCATAATTTTGCAAGTCATTGTTTGTTTTAATGGTAATTAGTGGGTTTATGGTAGCGCCATCTGTTAGTAGCTCAGTGAACTATGTATTTAACTTGGAACGTATTAATTATTTCTTTTTGTAATTATTCCTTTTGTATACAAACTAATGTTTGTAATGTTTTTAATATAAGTATTTATGAACTATAATTAAATAAAAATTAAAAAGAGTTTGGACTAAGAGATTTCAGGCTCTAATTAAAACAATTGTTACCTCTCACTAACCTATCAACAGGTCTGAGGGCTGGTTATTAGTTTAAATAAAAGCCTGGTCCCTAGGGCAGGCACTCTCTTCTGAGTCACTACCTCTTCCTCCACAAAGGCTCCTGGGAATTTCTCTGTCTAACTGTTTGGTACCAGACCCTTATTGTGTTATTTTTACCTTATCTGCTCTCCTACCTCTCACCCTCTACTCTCTCCTCACCTACTTCCTTTCTCCTTTCGTAGGATTACTGTGGTTGTCTTACATTTCCTGCAGTCCTCCTTTCACCTTCCTAGGTTGTTCCTGGGAGTTTGAGGTCACCTATCCTTGCAACGTCTGGTGATTGCCTCCTCAGGTTGCTGAGCCCTGGATGTTATAGGGGTTGTCCCTCTATCATTCTTGGCGGTCTTACCTCATCTAACTTTATACTGACTGAGACCTACTCTCTCCTAACCTGCCTCCTTTCTCCTTTCGTAGGATTAACTTGGTTGTCCCACGTTTCCTGCAGTTCTCCTTGAGCCTTCCCAGGTTGTCTCTGGGAGTGTGAGGTCACCTATCCTTGCAACATCTGGGGATTGCATCCTCAGGTTGCTGAACCCTGGATGTTATAGAGGTTGTCCCCCTATCATTCATGGCGATATTACCTTACATGCCTTATCCGTTTCATCCTATTCTAAACTTATACACCCTATATTTATTTCAATAAGGGTAAATAGATAGACACAGATCGGGTTCTTTGACAGACGGACAGAGAGAGTAAAGTTAGAAGGACAGATTACATATTTTAAAGAAGAATGAGTGAATAGAATCAGAGAGAGATATTACAATACATAGGGTGTCCCGTAAGTAGAGGGAAATATTTATAAGGGTGATAGCAGACCTCAAAAGGTACTAAAAAGTTTATATTAACAAGAGTCTAATTCCTTGCACAATAGTAGGAAATCTAAGTTTTGTGTTTTTAAAAAATAGATTTGAATAGGAAGCTATAACTAGAAAAATGTTTAATCTAATTAATTAAATATTTCTTCACAGTAAAATAGACAAACTTTACTTTAAAGGAAAGTAAATTTTGCCATTGTTAAAACCATTAAAGAGGGATTTTGAACAGATAAATTAAGCTAAATTCTGTTTTAAAAAAACATGAATGATTTGTGGTCATTGTTTTATTATCTTCCAACAATACAGATAACCCACTTTTAGAAAAACTTCCTTGTTTAATAAGTTTTAAGCCCATATTAATCAAATTGAGAGTTAATTAAGAAATCTCAAGTTGTGTAAATAAATGAGGTGATTTAATATCTGGTCACCTAAAAGTACCCGTGTTTTTGACCAGAAATTACCACAATAAATTATTGCAAAGCTTTGATTTCTCTTTTCTTCTATTACCTAGGATGTATTATAATAAGTTTAATTCAGTCATAAAGTTTAATTTAGTCATAAAGACAGGTACTTTTACTTTTAGATGACAATGTATCAAATCACCTTAATTTTTTTACACAACTTGAGATGAATCTGAACTTATTTCATAATAAATCCTCAACTTCATTAATATGGACTTAAAAGGCTTATTAAACAAATTAGTTTTCTAAAAGTGGGGTTTCTGTAGTATGCTTGGAGAGTGATAAAATAATCGTGCAAATAATTCATGATTTTTTTAAAAACAGAACTTATCTGCTCAAAAGTCCTCTTTAAATGGTTTTAACAATGACAGTCTATTTTTCTTTGAATTAAATTTTGTCTAGTTGACTTTGATGCAATTGTTAATTACTCAAATTAAATATTTTTTAGTTATTGCTCCCTATTCAACAAAACACGTGACTTACTTAAAATAAATTGTCTACTATTCTACTGAAAATCAGATCATTGTTTAAATAAACTGTTTTTTAGCTTTTGAGGTCTGCTATCACCTCTATAACATTTCCTTTCACCGATGGGACATCCTGTATATATTTAATGATCTTCAAGATATAAAAGTTACTTTTGAGTAATAATGTAATAGTAATCTGTCAGATTTAATATTGTAATAGATATGAATGTTAAATAAATATTAAAATTTCAAGATAATTTGAGAATTGCCTCCAGTTTTCAACCGATGAGATTTGAGGAAATGGCCTTTGACCATTAAAGGACTATTTAAAAGATTGTTAGATTGGCAATTAGCAGTTAGTTAGTAGTTGAGGTCAACAATAGGGGTTTACAAACTATGGGTTGTGAGTAGCTCCAATCAGGCACACCTTAGCAGAACTGCTTAATAATATTACACAATATTTGAAGATGAAGGTTTGAAAATTGGAATTGGTTATATGTTTTAAAGTTTTTGCCAAATTTTAATGTCACGTCCCATATATGAAATATATAGTAAGGGAAAGTATTGCAATTGTGAAAATTTTTGAATATGAGTTTTCAACGGAAATATATGTTTTGAGATTCTCTGAGTCCAAAAACAAAGTTTTAAGAAGTAGTCTGGCGTGTCATAAAACTTTTAAACTGAAATCAACTAAATAAACCAAAAGTGACTGTTATTTCCTTTATTTAAATAATGACCATAAAGAATATGATTAAGTGCTTTCATTGACAAACTCACAACATATATATATATATATATATATATATTTAGTAACATGTTTAGGTAGATCCTTTATAAAATTGTAATTATATAATAATATGTAAGTGATTTCATGTTTTGTTCTCTAAAATTTTTTTTCATACTTTAACTAAATGAAAAATATACGTAAAATATTTAAACATTCAATTTAATGTCATGTATTAAAATAAGTATTATTAATTTTAGTTATTTAAAAAATTGTAAAAACGATATTATCATATAACTAACTATAAAAAAGTACGATGTATTAGAACAGATGGGACGGGAGATGTTTCTCCATGGGAGGTGGTATTGTAAATAACATGTGCTAGGGTGTATGAGAGGACACTTATGGCTTTGTTCTTATGAACTATGTCATTTAGGGATGTGACGGTCCTGCATAGATCCATGCTCTCCTTATCCATTGTATTTAACTTATTAAATATTTCGCATTGGATGACCAACTTACTATTTCTTCAATAGTAGGAAAAGGAAATTGACATCGCTTTATGGCCATATTCAAATTTTTCCGAGCACATCCAGATATCTCCATTAGACTTATAGGCCACCACTAAAGAGTTAACCCAAGTTGTTAGATAATTTACCTTAGCAACTATTCCTTTGTTTTCTAAACTTTTTAGGGTTTTCCTGACTCGATCACTTAAAGGAATACACTTGCCCTTTAATTTTCTGATCTCCCCAAATAAGTCAGTATAATGAATTTTCAGCCTTTTTGAGCCTATACCGTAGTAACCAATTTTAATTTCACCCATCCTGCTAATCCAAGCAATGGTGAAGCATATGATGTGATCCCTACTTTAAACATTAAATTATAATCCTTATTTTTATAAGAGCAAAGGAAAATAAATTACCAACTACAAGCAGACGTTCACCACAGTGAGTAGTGAGATTTTTTGTGGAAGGCTCCACATGGACTTCAAGATGATGAGCCACTCCTTCACCTGTGCACAAGTATCCAATTTAAAATTCGCCCGTTGCCCGGCAATCTGATCAAGACAGATTCATAAAAAAATAGTACGAGTTCGCGTCCCGGTGCTGGGAAGGTTTTTTAAAACCCCGCCCTCACCCCCTAGCCCAGGAAAAACTCCAATAGACTTAAAGCGAGGAAAAAAAAAATTGGACTTTATAATCTT